AGGTTGATCCATGTTGTAGCGTGTATCAAAATCCCTTTTTTTTCAAGGCTGAGTTAGAGTCCACTGTATGCATAGACCACATGTTTATCATTTATCCATGAATGGGTTCTTGGGTTGTTTCCACCTCTTGGATCTAGTGAATAACGCTGCTATGCTCATGGATATATAAATATCTTTTCTACATCCTGCTTTCAGTTCTTTTGGGTCTACATACAGAAGCGGAATTGCCAGATCAGATACTAATTTTATTTTTAATGTTTTGAGTAACCCTTCACCATATTCCATCGCGCCTGCACCATCTTCCATTCCCGCCCACAGCGTAGACGAGTTCCAGTTTCTCCATATCCTCACCAACACTTGTTATCTTCTGTTTTTTTCTTTTTTGATAGCAGTCATCCTGGCGGGTGTGTAGAGTTGGCAATTTTGAATAATAAAAGAGGAAAATGCCATCAGGCTGAACCTATAAAAGGCTGCTCAGCCTGTCTCAATTGTTAGATCACCTTCCACCTGCGTGCAAGAGGAAAACGTAAAGGAATTTAGCAGAAGTCTCTAGACCTCATATTCCTTTGCTGCTCTAACACTGCCTTCGTCAGGCTTCCATTCCGTTCAGTTTCAACTGCTTCGAGCAGCTACTGTCTGAGGTCTTCAGTGGACACTAGGGACTGCAGGAAGGAAGGGCTATGCGTATTTTCAGGGGTTAATTGTGCTTAGGCTGGTGCTTGCTGGTGAGCTAGTGAACGCCCATTTTCATGCATAGTCTCCCTTGGGATGTCACTCAAATGTGGAAAACTGAGCCTCAGGAATGTTATTATTTTAGGAAGAAAGAACACCAAATAAGTAGCGAAGAAAGCTACTTTTCTAAGAAACCTGGGCAAATGTCACTTAACTGTAAAATACTGGAGTTGAATTTGAACCGCCTTGGCTGTAAATTTGCATTATTATTCCATGCTAAATGTTGCTGTCTTATCTATATGATGATATTTTCCAAAAGGATTTAAAATACCAAATGTCAGTGTAGGGGGAAGAAAAACCCTTTTCAATAAGAAACTGTCACCATTATGACAAAACGTAAACTCTGTGTTATCGAAGAATATGTTTTCAATAGGAAAACTGTATGTAGTAAGAGGCTGGTGAAGGTATTTAGGCAAATTCCCTTTCTTCCTCATTGCCTCGGCTTTGCCGGTCTCTCCGTCCTCGGCTGGGGCACTTGACATTGGTCTTCGTGCTGCCGTCAGAGGGGAGTCACGCAATTATCCACAGTGTTTTTGGCTGCCGTATAGTTAAGAAATTGCCTGCTTGGATCCTAGGTGAGCAGGTTACATAAACAAACAGCCAATTTCGCCTCTCTCTGAAGAGGAAATGAGCAGGCAGTGTGTGTTGGGAAGCGATTTTGTCCAAGCACCAGGTGCTGGCTGTTTTTCTCCCGCAGCAGCCAAAGCCAAGGACTGCAGGAAACAGAGCCCAGGAATCCCTCTGTCCACCCGCCCAAAGGGTGCAGCTTCCAGCCGACGTCCTTGAGCATGGTTCTTTGCGTCCAAATCTTGTCACCTTTGCACACTTTCCATAGCAGTTGGCTTCCTTTGTTCCCCATGAGGTTGTCTAGGAGGAGAATGTTTATTTGTGACTAACATTCATGTTCCAGGACAAAACTAAGGACACATGTTTTGTTCTCTTCAACCTTTATGCGCTATATTTAAAGTGCTTTGTCTTTAGAAGGTAGAATCAAACGAGGGAATATTTACTAGCACTTAGAGGCATGGTTCTTAACTCTCTTTTGATCCTTGGGGCATGTGGTGAAGGCTACAAACCCTTCCTTCAGAAAAAAATACACATATGCCCCTAACATGCAAGATTCTGTATGTCATTGCAGGGGGCTTTGGACAGATACTGACTCCATTCTACTTTATAAAGATTGCTCCTTATAGAAATATATTGATATATTACATATATGTAATATATATATTGAACTCCCTGTTATGAATGTTCACTATTCTGTGTCTGTCCTTTCCAAACACTTATTTGTTTTTTTCTCAAGCTTTCAGTAGTATAGAGAAAGCCATTATGACAAAACGTAAACTCTGTGTTATCAAAGAATATTTTTTCTCCGTAAGTTGCCTTTCATAATAGACCAAGAGTACAAGAAGCTACCTCTGAAGGGGAAGAGGGTGGGCATACGATGCATTGAGCACCTACTGTGTGCCAGGCACCTTCCGTATGGGATATGACTTAATCCCGACCATGACTCTGTGATTGTGGAATTATCCCAGTTAGCAGGCATGGAAGTTAGCTAGTCGGGCTCAGTTAGTTAGTTAGTCGGGCTCAGGACTATTAAGTCAGTCATTTGGAGTCTGTCCCACTCTAGAGCCCACTTGCATTGGTATTGCGTGACTTCCAAGGAGGACACAGCTTCTTACTCAAAAGCGTGGGGCTTTAGGAGGGAAGAGAGCCTCCCAGGGGCCTGCGAGACAGCAGGGTCGGTGGGCGGAGGAGGAGTGATGGGTGCATTTTCCCGAGGGCGCACGAGAGGGTCGTCTTGCGTGGGACCACCAGTGCTCGCAGGGGGGTGGCATTAGAAGACTCGGCCTCCCCCAAAGCAGGGCAGCCACCGCCGTTCGCTGCCACCCCGGCCAAGTGTGCGAGGAGGAAGGGAAACAGAGGAGGAAGAGATACGTGCTTCTCATTAGGAAAGTAGGTCAGATTCTTCCTTGTTTTGGGCCGCTCCCAATCTCTCTCCTGGCACTCTTCATTGTCCCTGCAGTACAGCCCGTGACTCCGAGGGCACTGCGGGGACGCTCACTGTGCCTCTGAAATAGTCCACGGCCCCCGGCAGGATGAGCCGCGACTCACAGTCAGGAGAAACGAAATAGTTCTCATTCTGCTTTGGGATTTTGGTCAGTAACTGTGGAGCTTTTTTCCTCCTCCTCTACTTAAAAGAGGGTTTTATTTTCCAGAGATATTACTCTGGAATTGTGCCCAGTAAACTTTTTCTAAAAAACAGGTAGTGGAAAATGCACCGGGTCACATGTCCTGTCTGGCACTTCATGAGTGGAAGTCGGGTCAGGAACTGGGCTTCTGAGTGGGTGACCACCCTGAGGGTCAACCCACTCCTTGGGCGTGGAAAATGAGCCCATTTAGGCGAATCTCATGAATTTTCATCACGAACTAGCCAACACCAGAGGTCAATGGGAAACCACCATCATCATACACTATCCTTTCTCATGGTCGATCTGAAAGAGCCCAGTCACACGAATTATGAAGAGAGAAATTATATTTTCTAATCCCCAGGGCTTTTATGCGGCGTGAATGGCATTAATTCAGGGTACTTGTAAGAAACATTTTGGGAGAGATTTGAAGCAAGACAAAGTAGGTACACGCTGGCATTATAAAGAGAGTCAAATCTAACTACTGCAGAGTCTTAGAGATAATCTAAGTGCTGCCTAATTACATACAACACGTTTTATTGACTCTTGTCTGTGGGTAAGCACAGGTCTGTTTTCTACCGGCCAAAACCAGAGTCACCTGAGAGACTCATTAGAATACACATATACACAATGCAGTTTGCACGTCCTTGCCTATGGGAGGCCAGCGAAGAATTTCCTTAATGCATGATCTGTGGGGCCAGGTTGTCACAGGTGCCCAAGGCCTTTACCTTCTCTTTTGCATAAGGAATTGGCGGCGGGGAGTGGTCCTGAGATTTTTATTTTCTTTTTACAACAGTATGTTAGGGCGGCTCAGTGACTGATGAAAAAAAAGTTTTCCTCATGGAATAATACCATATGGAGGAATAATCGAATTAGAAATCATCCTTTTGCAACTCTAATGAAAGAGCGAATCTGGCGTCATCTGTGATTGGCAAAACAACGGAGTGAAAGATCAGCGGGGAGCGTTGGAATGAGGGCTCAGGCTGACAACACCTGAACCCACTGTCAGTTTTACCGCCACTAAAAGTAGACAGGGAGATACTGCATAACTGCTAACGTGGCAGAGTAGAAAGCGCTCAGCATCATCTGGGAAGTGTTCTCTCCAGTAGCACTGAACCTGGCGCTAACCGAGCCTCCAGCTCTGGCTGCTGGGATACGAGGGAACCTGAGCTGGGGTCTCGGCCCTGCACAGCAGAACCACATGGAGAATTTTTAAGGTCTGCAGACCTAGGCTGAGTCTCAGACCAATTAAATGAGAATCTCTAGACCTGGACATTAATATTCCCTGTAGCTCCCCCAGATGTTACATTGTGCACCCAGATTGGAAACCAGGGGAAAAGCAGAGAATGTCAGGAAAGGACGTGAAATACAGAACGTGAGAAATACCGCAGGACACATGACTTGCATTTTACCACATACGTGTAGCATTAGAAAAAGAGGCTGGGGAGGGGACACTGTAGACTAAAAGAGACTTAAGAAACAGAAACGAAATGTGATGTGGGGACTCTGTTTTGATCCTGATTCCAACAAGTCAACCATACCAAGACTTTTATCAGAGAATCAGGGAAATTTAAATACAGACTGAGTATTAGGCGATCATAAGGCATGGGGCTTGCATTTTGTTCCTTGTGACGATGGTTTTGTGGTTATGTTGCAAAGAAAGTTGTTACAGTCAGAGATCCACAGCGAAGTATTTATGGATGAACTATGACGTCTGGGGTTTGATTTAAAACACTCCAGGAAAAAAAAATGGTGGGAGAATAGACAAAAATAGATACCAAAGATTGGTAACATGCTGATAATTGCTAAAGTTGGGTGGTAGGTACACAGGGGTTCATTTTATTATTCTCTCTACTTTTGTGTGTTTTAAAAATTTTCATAAGAAAAAGTTCAAAAGGGGGCATAAAGGTGAACTGTATGATACTGTATCTCTTGCATTGTGACATATTATCAGCACAAAGTCTTAGAAGTTCCTATGAAATATACCTGCAATAAAATGTGTGTACGTAAGAAAAGTTCTTATTTCTTTTCAGAAAAATATTTCTATGTTCAGTTATTATGTTTCTATTGCTTTTGTAGATGATTCTGGACCTCCTCCTTCTACCGTTATCAACCAAAACGAGACTTTTGCCAAAATAGTTTTTAAGCCCAGTGTGGTACAACAAGCCAAGATTGCCCAGAATGGGATTTTGGGAGACTTCATCATTCGATACGACGTCAACAGGGGACAGGGCATTGGGGACATCCAGGTACTTACGGGGTTCGCTGTTGCTGTTTCATGTTGGTTGCGAAACACTTTTAGTGAGACTCAGAACTATGGATTTCACACTTACCTAAGGGATAGAGAACTTTCTGTTTCTCACTAAACTTGTTTTAACCCAAAATATATCTTCAAAGAGATGCGCGGTGGTCTTTTGCTGGAAGCTGAGAGAACCTATTCCCTGCTTCAGTAATCTGGGGAGCAAACGAAATCTGTAATATGATTTTCCCTGTGGTGTTTTAGATTAAGTTAGAATTTCAGTTCATCTTCAATTTTAATTAAAAGAGACTGCTCCATGCCTCATTTCCCTTTAGGTTTTATTGCTCCGGAGACGGGATGGGAATATTAAAATGTATTAGCGTGCCTCCGGAATGTAGACAACCTTGATGTCTCACCTTGTAAGATGCTTGGGTAAAACCAGATAACGAGGGAAGCAGGGCTCCCAAGTAGCAAGGGCCAGGGAAGGAGGGATAATTAAAATTGAATTAGTAGCCATAATTGATAAATTTTTAAGGGAAGATTCTATCCTTATACAAATTAAATTAGCAATTAATTCTCTTGGAGGGATCCTGATCCCCCCCATAGATCATTTTGCTCTGGGTATAGAATCGAGCCCCAGACTCTGTTTCCTGCAGTCTTTGACTTTTAGAAGTTCCATGGACTCTCTGTTTTAGGTATTTCTCCTCCCTATTCTAGGAACTACCGTTTTCATGTGCTTTTCCCTCCACCAGGTGCTGAATGGCTATTTTGTGCACTACTTTGCTCCTAAAGACCTTCCTCCTTTGCCCAAGAACGTGGTGTTTGTGCTTGACAGCAGCGCCTCCATGGTGGGGACCAAACTCCGGCAGGTGAGTGAGCGCCACCCGCCCACTTTGTTCCTCCCTTGCTTTTACCTGGGACAACAATCTGCTTTGTGCATCCTTCAGATGAAAGATCCTAAATGCCGAGCTCACCTCTTTAAATTTTCATCTTCTCTCATATTTTTCTTCTCCCTATTTTGTTAGCTCTCTGCTACTTTCAAGATAAAAAAGAAAACATCTTGTTCAGCTTTTTTAGTTGCTCCCAGTGGAAAGCTAAACCAAATGTTCGTTTTGGTTCTTTTTCAAATCTACTCTGTGACTTTAGGATTTTCAGTTATTGTACTAAGTTTTTAATAATTAAAAAATTTTTTTCTCAAGCACAGTAAACATAGTTATTTTAAAGTCCGTGTCTAATAAATTTAAACTTTGGAGCCCCTTAGGGTCTAAATTACCTATAGGTTTTCCAAAGTTTTAATCACCCTAAAGCGAGGTGTTTTTTCATAGTGGCTGCTATTTATCGATGTTTGAGTGGCCTTTCTCTGTTACCAAATACTCTGTAAAGTGCTTTGCTTTTGGTACTGTGCGTTCCTATGCCAGTTCCATTTGCTGACCTAATTGTTTTTGAGAGTTTGGTGGCTGGACAATAGATATTAACAGAAGAATAATCATGGCTTCTTTTCGTTTAAGACCACTATTGGCCACAGAATACAGTGTTAATTAGATCTGACATAGGATCCAGTATGAAAATAATCCCATTTGGATTTTGAACCAATTAATAATTAGTGAGTAATTGCCATGGGCCAGGTTTCCCCACATATCTCATTTAATTCCTATGTATCTACATATCTTCAGATGTTTTTTCTTTCTTATTTTTTTCTTTCTTTTTAAATAATGAGCTTGATGAGGGGAGGGTTTGTGTTTCCTCTGATCAAAAATAACTTGATGAAGGTATTGATGATTAAAGTTACTGCAATGAATCTGAATTCCTGTTACCACCAAACAGTGTGTATTCAGAGATTTTTATTTACCATCATATCATGAATCTGTCTTATGTTATTAAATATTCTTGAAAAACCTGATTCTAGTGGTCATAGAGCAGCACAATCCAATAGAAGCTTCTAGGAGAATGGGAATGTTCTATGCTGTCCAATATGATAGCCACTGGTCACAGAAAGCTATTGAGCACTTGAAATGTGGCTAATCCAACTGAGGAACTGAATCTTTAGTTTTGTTTAATTTTAATAAACTTGAATTTCAGTAGCCACAGGTGGCTAATAGTTACTGAGTAGACAGTGTAGCTGCAGAACATTTATTCACCCTACCTGCCATGGGAGACTTTTAAGTTAATTCCACTTTTTGCTGTTATAAACACCACTGAGATGATTTTCTTTATGTAGAAATCCTTGACACATGCTCGTTGTTTTTTTAAATTTGATTCTTGGAAGTGGAGTTACCGGGCCAAAGAATGCCAAATCCTTTGTGGTTTTTGGCGCATATTACCAAAATAGTCCAAAAAGGCTGTGCCAATTTGTAACATGTAAAACTGTTACCAGGGTCAGTATTCCAAATAGATTAAGGGGCTAAAAGGTAATCAATGAACTACACCCCCAAAAATGTAAGAAAGCGTAGGTGCATATTTAACTAGTTTTGAAGCAGGGGAAAACTTTCTAAGCCTAAAAGCAATGAAAGTAATAACTGTAAAAGAAAAGAATCAACAACTTGAGCCACATAAAAGTTATAAAACTTTTGTTGTAAATAAAAAAAAATAAAAGTAAACAAACGACAGGGAAATTGTATGCAGGAAAAAGACAGGAGTTTATCATTAATGTGTAAAGAGCTATTCCGGATCAATAAAAATTAATCATGTGTAAGGAAATGAGCAAAGGATGTAAAACAATCCAAAAGGGAAGAAATAAGAAGATTCAGTGGGATTATGAAAAGGGTGAAGCGTATTAGTAATTAAAGCAATGCTCAAAGACTCCCATCTTCAGGTGCCAGAGTCACTTCCGGATTTAAGCCCAACCCTAGTCCCTTCCGGAGCACAGGGTCTTCTTCCACTTCTGACAGGAGAGAGATCAAGAATCTTCTTACCAAACAGCCCCTAGAAAGATAAATCCTGCCCCACATTGTCAAGAGAAAAACCAATGAAATAAATCAGGGTCTCCCAAATTTCCCTTTAATCATAAAATAATTTGGATACTTCTTAAAAATGTAGCATGGGGCATTTTCAACATCTCTAAGGGTATTACATGAATTATTTACTATGAGGGTATTTAGTCTTTGTAACAATTTGGTCATTCCCATTTTACTGATGGAGAAACCGGGGCTTTGCAAAGGTACATAACTCGGCTAATGAGTGGCAGGGCCAGTCCGACTCCCAAGTCCGTGAGCACAAAGCTGTGGTTCCTTCGTGCATGTATCAATGTGGTAAGGCAACCAAGGGACGTGGACAAGGGGACAAGGTCAGTGCAACTTTACGTTTTAGGACCCACGTGAGAAGAAGGCCGCATCGCAGAAGGCAGGGCTTTCCTTGCATTATGCAAGAGCAGTGTAAGAACAGATGTCAGACCATTTGTTATTCTCTCTTCTTCCTTCATTCCTGGATATTACAATCCATTCCTTGCCGGCCGCGGAGAGTCTGGCATGCACTCTGCCGGCTGCTAAGCTACAGCATGGCTTCCCTCCAGGACAGCCGCCCCGGAGCAGCCAAACACATGTCTGAGCAATTCCTAATGCCCCTCGCAGCCTTGAGCGGTTTTGAAAACTGTTGACTATTTTAGCAGTTCTCGGCTTCTCCGAGGCCACGGCACTAAGCGAAAAGCTTAGCTGGCGCTTCATAGAGTCTTGTCTGTGATATGATGTCTGCTGGTGAGAAGGAAAATTACCCCATGCGCAGGGCTTTCATGTTATGTCAACAGGCTTGGCAACACAGGACATTTGGATTCTGTTACAAATGATTCACTGTCATTCTGGATGTTCTTGGCACCCCTCATCGGTGACGGGCCTGGAAGATTTAACTGTACTTATCTCAATGTAGGGCACTGAGTTGGTTTTTAATAATTACTTGTCAAGATCATTCAGCCTTAAACTGCACACTCAGTAAGGCGTGTATCTGCACTGGGGAGCCCCCGAAGCTGTGTGCACCTGGAATTCTAAGGCTCTTGTCTGAATCCCGATGGGAATATGCTCCCGGAAGCCAGGACTTCCCCAGCTCGGGAACAGCGACAGAGCTGCCCCCGGATGGCACGTCGCTTGGCCGTTTTCTCTTCCACGTGCATCTGCAGATGAATGCGCTGAGAGATGGCTCTGGAGCTGGGGCAGGCAGGATCTCTGCCTCCCGACTGGAGCTTGTAAAACTTCTCAGGGTGGCCGCTGGGAAGAGCGAAAAGAGGGGAGACAAATGTGATCGGGGTCGACTTCCTTCTTCCTTGCTAGTTGCATGCTAGAGCATTAGCACTTGCAAGCATGCATGTCCTTGGGGGCATTAAACATGATACCTTGTCTGTTAAATACCTTTTTTGTTTTTTTTTTTCTTGAGACAGAGTCTCACTCTGTTGCCCGGGCTAGAGTGCCGCGGCGTCAGCCTAGCTCACAGCAACCTCAAACTCCTGGACTCAAGCGATCCTCCTGCCTCAGCCTCCCAGGTAGCTGGGACTACAGGCACGCGCCACCATGCCCAGCTGATTTGTTTTTCAATTTTTAGTTGTTTGGCTAATTTCTTTCTATTTTTAGTAGAGACGGGTCTCGCTCTTGCTCAGGCTATTCTCGAACTCCTGAGCTCAAGCAGTCCTCCCGCCTCAGCCTCCCAGAGTGCTGGGATTACAGGTATGAGCCATGGGGACCGGCCTGTTAAATACCTTTTTCTTTGGCCAAGGCCTATGCTTTCTTCTCTTTCTTTCCCCTAATCTATGTAATTTTATCTACCACTTTCACCTTCATATTAGGGGGCTTGGCTAAGGAACCCTCTTTGGCAACCAAGCAGTGATGAATGGATCATTTTCCAGATGCTTTTCATGATGTAACTTTCTCCAAACTTGTTCCCACACTCTGTTCCTTTCTATGCCAATCCAGGTTCCCATGGAGCTTTTGAAAGTTTGTTTCCCTTTTTCTGTTTAATTTGCTTGACAATTTTAGAGGGTAAAGAACAAGCATTTTTCTTATCCATAATTGCCATGTTAAAATGAGGGAAAATGTGAATTAATGGGTTGGAAAACTGCATGTTGCTCGTGCTTCATTCACATGTTTACTTTATGCTCCAGGACACGCGTTTCTTCCTCACTGTCCAAAACTGGGCTCCCAAGAGCTATCCGGGCATTTTATGTGTTACCTTACAGGTGAATAGTTGGTAAATGAATCCCCCACGATTTGGGGAACATCTTGTTTTTGATCATTATAGTATGTATTCCTAGCTCTCAGCACATTACCTGACACACAGTAGGTAATGACATTTGCTGCAAAACTACCAGCACATAAACAATCAATGTACCTTATATTTTTTTTTTAGGGCACAGTAGAGACCATTGAGTGATCAGCGCATACCAAGCACTCTGAGGGTTTTATATGCATTTTTTTCATTTAATCTTTCAGCCATCTAATGAAGTAGACATTGCTAACCTCATCTGATAAATGGGAAGGTGATGTAATTATGCTGAAATACAGAAAGTTATAAGTAGAAAAGTTAGGTTTCAAGCCCAGGTTGGCCTACCTAAAGCGCTTCACCATAACATTAGATATGGACCATGACATAGCTGTAGAACACCTGTTAAGTGTCAAGGCTCTACCTGTTCTTGTCAAGTAATGGGATGGGCAATGCTGCCCATCTCAGGTGAGTGCATACAGATGTCACCTGCCCAAAGAGGCATCAGCCAGCAGACTGGTATTATGAGAAATTAATGAAGCTGTTCCTCTCTGATCCATAGAATTAATATGCAGCATCTCTCAGACATGTACAGGGCTGCAGACTTCTCTCCCTTTTATAATTTGGATTAGATGGGTCCAAATTGGATTGGACGGGTCCAAGTACGGAGACAGTGGAGGGATAGGCTGAG